AATACCTATAAACAAATTTGAAAGGAATTGAAATTTCATGAGCTTCAGGACCTTCCTTATGGCCCCCCTGTTCACGTTGTAAAGTTTCAAATTATTCGATAAATCGAATTGGGAGAAAAGTTTTATTAACAAAACCTCTTCCTCTCGAGAATGATTGACGGATGCTACTTCCATATCCCCTTAAACGGGGAGGAAGAAAAAGGATTTCTTCGGCGAACAAATGCGGCCCGATGACGCGCGTCTCCCGGGGTCCAAGATGGCCGCCCGCGGGTGTGCGTCGTGAATCACCGGAGCCACCCTTCGTTCTCTTGATCGTTGCAGCAGAAACGAGCACCCGAGGGCCACGGATGTATCGCGAGATTAACGAGAGAAATCGGCCCAGGGCGGAGAAAATCTGCTCGGCGAAGCACGACGCGCCATGGCGGCCATCTTGGTTCCCGACGTCCTGCGAGTTCTCCTCGCATTTCGAAAGGAATAAGGGAGTTTTCGAGGTGTAGGGTCGCTCTAACCTGGGTTTTAATTAAACCGAGGAGAAGTAGCTCTGGTGACTCACATTTTAAGAGGATCGAGAGAGCGAAACGGGGAATTGCTCGGCGAAGCACGACGCGCCATGGCGGCCATCTTGGATCCCAGCGTCCTGCGAGTTCTCCTCGCATTTTGAAAAGAATAAGGGAGTTTTCGAGGTGTAGGGTCGCTCTAATCTGGGTTTTAATTAAACCGAGGAGAAGTAGCTTCGGTGATGCACATTTTAAGAGGATCGAGATAGAGAGAGAGAAAGAGAAACGGGGAATTAGCGGACTGCATATGGTGGTAAGAAGTGCGAGTGGATTCACGGAAGAGCGGCCGCCGATAAGGTCTCGGGATAAACCGTCGATTTTATCGATTCGGTCGAAAGGACGCGGCCAATGAGCGTAAACTCCGGTGGAAACGCACGTGCAATTCTGTGAACGAAATTAGCGGCGAGGCGCGCAGTCGTACGCTCCTAGGGGGTAGATTTCGGAAATAGCGAAAGAGAAAAGGAAGAAGAGGTTACCGCCAACTTTTCCGAACCGCGCTCGAGGACACGTTTATTAAGCAATTAAGCGTTAACCGCGCAGGTTGCGTGCAATCGAGGGACCCCATCGAGGAGCCAGCTAGAGGAAAGGATGCAATCCCTCTCCGGGTCGCAATTACGAGTCCGGTGTAATTCGCACTATCAGGGGAAAAAGGAGGAGAGAGCCGCGCTCCGATAAATCCGCGGATGACTCCTCTCGCGTGCACGGGGCGTGCTCAAGGAATAAATCCACCGTGGCGGAGAAGCGGACCCCAACCTGTTGCACGTCTACGAATAACTCCAGTATGTCCCTTAGACGCCACCCGTCCTTCCGAGAAAGGAGGAAACTTCGCTAGAAATTCATGATAATAGGAACCGCGGGAACCAAAATGGCGGACATTTAGAAGACGCGGGTTAATCGCCAGCGGCGCGACCAGGCACGGAAGCGTTGGATGTTTCGAGGCGAATTTCCCGGATTTAATGTCAAAGACGGGTATTATCTTCTGGGGCCAAGATGGCGGATGTTTCGAATCGAATTTCCCGGATTTTACGTAAGAGATGCGTAATATCCTTTGGGACCAAAATGGCGGACGCTTCATTATTCGTGGCAAGGTTGGGCCCAGAATAGTCAGAACTTCCAAGGTCGGTTTCTTGGGTTCTACGTGAAGGCGCATATTGTCCATTGGGCCCAAAATGGCGGACGAAACGCAAGAGACCATCATTAGCGGCGAGATCGGGCCCAGAAGCGTCGGACATCCCAAGGCCGATTTCGCGGGCTTTACGTCGGATCGAATCGCGCGAGGAGAGCGAGCTCGTTATACCGGTCCCCGGAGCGAGGTGCATCCCCGATCGGACTTACCGGTCCCCGGACGTGTACCGGACTTGTCAGTCCCCGGCCAACAAGGCGCGCCGGGCGCCGGACGACAAGGAGAAACAATGTCGTATCTTATGAGCCCCGACAGGCGTATCGACCGCGGCTACCCGCGAAAAAATCCGCGAGCGCACCCTGCAGCTGCGCGGCACGGAAGATGCAAACGCGGATTTCGAAAAAAATACTCTCCCCCTCCTCCCCTCCCTCCTCTCACCCTGGAATACCCCGAGAGAAGAGGAAAGAAAACGCCTCTATCAAGGTAGCATCCAGATCCGATCGGCGGAATTCGCTTAGCCTGCATGGACTGGGCCCTATCACGATAGAAGATGAACAGAGTCCAGTGGATGCAAAAATGAAAATGCGGATTTTGAAGGAAATATCAATGGCCCTCGAAATTCGGAAGACCTCGAGAGAAGAGGAAGAAGAAGAAGAAAAGAAAATCGGGACAGCGTCTATCAGCGAAAACTGGGCCTGATGTGGGCATCGGAAGCTGAAGGGAGCAGTCAGGTGACGATTTCGAGGTACATCGGACCCAAAACCGCCGTTCCTCGAGCCGACCTCGGAATGGGTCTTGAGGCCCCTCGCACACGACCCCCACGTTCCCAGCACGCTCGGGCCCTCGCCTAGGGCCCACTTCGGGGTTCACTCGGTAGTCCTTGCGCGTGGCGCGTACAAGGGTGGCGCGTAATCTCGCCAAGGTCTTCTTGGGGCCCGTCGGGCCCGCGATGACCAATCGGACCAATGGAGCCAATGGGACCGTGGAGAACCGTGGCGCGAGGACAGGTGGCGACTCGAACCAGGGAACCTCGGAGGGCCCGAGTTCTCACGCGCAAAACGCACCAGCTGCCGCTGCCACGGCACACACAGCCTCGACGCACGCACACGGACGTGCACCCGCACACGCACACGCCCCACGCCACGATCGGGGCCTTAAAGTGTACCACACTCGGCGTGGCAGACACGTGGAAGACGAAGGGCACCCTCCGAGTGGGACCCCCGCGCCTCCAGGACACGCGTTTACGCGTGCTGAGGGTCTCGCGGTGTGCGTGAGGCCCCGGAACAGGGCATATGCCCCCGTTGCCCCCGTTGCCCGATGTATGCCAGTTATGCGCCCGTTGGAGGCCCCCTGCGCCCCCTGTGCGTTCGGTGCAAGGAGCAGATGCGTTGCGGTGGGTCAGGGATCTAAATATCACGGGAAGGGCCAATCGCACTCCTGGGCCTTCCGCCATTTTTCGGCCCGACACCTGCGTCTGGTCCAGAAAGGGGTGCGAATTCGAAGACGCGTCCTAGGAGACAAATGCCGAGTACCGGTCGCGGTCCACGACGGTTCCACTAAGGGTGGCCACGGGAACCGGCATTTCCGGATCCCCCTAGATGGGGCAACGATCGTCCGTTGCGTCGTTTAGTCCGTCATTGATGACGCATTCATCCCGATTCCTGTTCCTGGGCCTGCACCTGCCTCTGGGCCAGGTCGCAGGGGTTGCGGGGACCTGACCCCGGAACTTGGACTCCGTTTACGAGGTTAATGCTCGGGAAGGTGGGGATCGCGCCATGAGATTAAATGGGGGGTTGTTTCACGCATTGCGTCGGTAATCTGGGGAGGGGCCCGATTAAGGCCCCCTAGAATGGGGGGGCTAGCTGGGACCAGGCCTTCGATTGTTCCTTTGACTTGGGATGGACATCTTAGAGTATTGTTTTTCGAATTTCTGATATTACCGCGTTCTTATGCCGGACCCAGGAAGGAAATCCTGCCTCGTATCGAAGATCCGTCGACGCATCGCCATATCGAGGGAGCGTAATTGGCTTCGATTACTCGATGTAAGTTCGCTTACCCCGGCGTAACCCGATGCTCGATTTAGCCTCCACTTCTAGGAGCATCGATACGTGCGCTTCCAACCGGTCCCCCTGGATATCGTTCCTCACCTCGGCGAATATTAACGAGCCCTTTATCGACGTCACCGATGCAGCGCGGATGCGTTACCGATCGGCGAGCTCGATATAGTCAATAAAAACGACCATCGTTTATTGCCCACCTTCCGAAGCGCAAATGTAACAAATGGGGACAACGTACATCGGAATCGATGTTCTACCTCGACCATCCCTTGCTATATAGATAACTACGTGCATCTAGAAAAAATATTATCAATACATATCACGTCAATCAACCGATGACCAGGATCATAAAACATAATTCTCACGGCTAAATTCTGATTAAACCTGGATTATGGAAAATCTTGATAATACAATATAGTACAATTTGCATTACTTTGATACCGCGATCCTTTCCATGCGCGCATATTCCTAACGAATTCCAATATATCCATCCTCCTCTCCCGCTCGTGGTTCCCAATGACTCCTTCTTCTCCTCACTCCCTCTCTCTTTCTCCCGCGTCGACCGCCATCGCTCTGTCCCGCTCCCTCCTTGGCGCGTTCCCAACTGCAGCCATGGGTATCGGCCCTCTCTCTCCCTCCCATGGTCCATGCATCTCTCCATCTCCGTCCAATCGGGCATGCGCCGCGCATGCGCCAGCTACCGTGCCGTGCTCGTGCTGAGCTCGCGACCAAGAGAGCGCCTCTCTCTCTCCCTCCTTCCTCGTCCCATATATGACCGTCTTTCTCTTCGTGCTTCTTTCTTTTCTTTCCTCCTCCTCGCACGACTGGTCTCCGCCATCGCTGCGTCCTCTTCCCTCCCCCTTCCCTCTTTGAGTGGCCGATGGACGCTTCTCTCCCTTCCTCCTCGAGCCCTCTCTATCTCTGTCTCTAGATATACCTCGTTCCTTCTCTTATCCCCTCTCCTTGATCATAGCTCCTCTCTCTCCCTCCCATGTTCTTTTACCATCGCTTCTCTTTGTCTACCTCCTTCTCCACGGTTTCAGGGATAAGAGCCCTCCTTGGGTACACCCCCGTTCATGGTGTGCGCACGGGGGTGTGCATCCCAGTGCGCGTGTGCTGGTCGCGCGTGCTCGCGCGCGCCTTTAAGGAAGCCCGAGTGCCTTTATGCGCCGACGCGAGGCGCGCGCTGCGCATGCGCCGCGCCTCCACTATATAAGGCGCGGAGATCTCATCCCCGAGCGCATTCAATCACACCCACTCGGGCCGCGCACGGCCGCGGAGGAAGGGAGGAAAAAAAAGAGGAAGACGCGCTCCGGCCTCGTGCTGAGATCGCACGTGCACGCGTTCTCTCTTCGTCTCTGTCGCACCCCCCACCTGGTGCGACCGTCTTGCTCCGTCGTTCCGAAGCTACTGACACCGAGCGGAACCGCGAACCAGACACGACAAACCCCGAATTCACCCACGGTAATTGTTACAGAATTATTCCAACCATATAAACTAAGTAAAGCCACGGAAATATGGAAACCGACCGACGGCGGACATTTTTTTATAAGAGCGAAAAGACACTTTATTGACTTTGTAATTATCTTTTTCTAGCAATCGGATCAGGTGGAATTAATGACTGCATTGGAAGAGATGAGTTGACACCGCGGATGCTGGATTTTATGGGGATTTCTCCAGTCTCCGATCCCGTCATGATCACCTCCAGGGTTATCCTGGCGAACAGGCGATCTAAGGTAACGTCCTTCCTCAAGAATTGCATCAAGAAGGCGCTGATAAGGACCAGAGGCTGGAGACACCCCGTGGACCGGATCTGGAGCGCGGAGATGGAGAACGAGATCAACGAGAGGAAATGGAAGCGAGGGGAGGAGGCGGTCCTCCGGGATGCTGTCATCCTGCTGGACCAGAACCTGGAGAACGAGATGAGGGAGAATCTGCTCGGCTCCAAGGAGTCGGAGCTGGTGCCTTGGACTCCAATGGGACCAGATTAATGATCCTTCGTCCATGGTTCGATCTCCGACATCCAGCATCTTCTTCGGACACTTGAGAGTAAGACCTACCCCTTAGGATAATCGCTAGATTAATTTTTAATCCACATATCTACCAGTTATCCGTTCGGATTAAGTTCTTCCAGTCGGTCGTATCTATTTTCACTGGACGACTGATTACCGGTGAGGAGCTTTATTGTAATCTAAGCTCGATCGTTCTATCGGAGCACCGAAACTCCCATTAACGATAGTTCGTAACGTTTCCTTGGCTAACCCTAATTAATTAATTAACTTTACCATTAAGAGACCTGCTCGACTACCGAGGACGACTTCTCGCTAACGGGGCCCCGTAGTTAGTAAGCTTAGAGATTCGGATAAATTTCTTAAGATTTTGAGGTTAGGAAATATTTCATATCTTATTATGTATATGTTGCTAAGGGCTCGCATTAATTATGTTCTTCGGTTAGGAGGGCTGTTGCAATTTTATCCAGCGTTGTTCCAATTAGAATGGATGGGTTCTAAGATCGTTTCGACTGCTTTTCTGTGATACTAGGTCTAGGGTTATTTCACTAGGAACTGCCGTTAGTATAATTGACATCGAACTCCGTTCGACGAATAGGCCGCCCAGTGCATATTACATGTTATGAGATTCTGTGATATGGAGGCGTTATGGAGAGCCAACTTATCCTTAAAACTTAATTAGGTAGGGATTAGGAATTAGTTTTCTGCTGATCTCATCGATTGTGATGTCGTTCACTGTGATAAAAAGTGCTTTAACTTTGATAAGAGGAATATGTATATGAAGATGAAGTCAGGCGTTTTTTTATAATGATTCGAGTCCGTAGGACTTGATAAGGATTTCTGTCATTTTGTGTTCTTTTGAAAAAAATAGAAAATTACACACGATGGCCGTCGTTACCGCAAAAGGACTCGCGTCGTTTAAAGAAACGCCTGAAAATATTTGCAAATCTTTTATGCGAAATCCATGTGTCTTCCGAAATGCGATGCAATATTAGTGTTAAAGGATTAACCATGTTTAACCGAGTGCAATGTTAATTTTAACGCTGGATCCTTTTTCTAATTGGAACTCGAGAACGAGAAACTGTGATATAGGTTTAGTGACTCGTAGGTTTAGGGACTAGATTCGAAGTTCGTAGGCTAAGAAATTCCCTAGATAGTGGAGAACCACAGCTCGAGCCTTGCCTTGTGATAACGCGTGTCAGTAATCAAGAGCGGAAGCGATTTTGCGCGAAACTCCGGATTTTGACTTTCGTCGAGTCAAAATCGGACGGCCTTAATTCTTTCCCCATATCGCGCTCGTTATTACGATAATTTTTAATCCTTATGTAATCACTTTGCGTTATATCTTTGGTTTGTCAAATTTGCCGCCTCGGGTCGCATGAACCGTTCGCGGCTTTGTGTGCTTTTTTTCCCCCTTGATTGTCATTTGTACTCGAATAAAACTAAATAAAGAGTGTACACGATATTATCGATACCATTGCGTTGCATTTAATCGACCCTTAACCCCACCCTTAATCAAATCCAAGTTCCAAATCATCCATCTTGTGGAGCGCAGATAGAAGAACGAAAGATTCCACAGTACGGAAAAAGAAATCTGATAAAAGAAAAAAAAAGAGAAGAAAGCGAAATCGTGTAACTTCGTTACTTTTTCCCGCCGAAATTCGCCCCATCTGTTAGGGGACTTTCCAACCCTCCGGGCCCAACAGTTGAGGCCTTCGACGATAGATGGCAGGGGTGAAAGACGACCCCAGTCCCCCTGCAGAAAAAGATAACTCCAAAGACTATCTCGAATTTCCCCTCGTCAAATGATATTTTCCTACCGGACCTAGTAACGGATGGTGAGGACGAATAACGATAGATATTAGGTTAGGGAATAAGTTCTCGCGATTTTTAAGGTGACGTGAAAGTGGCGTCGAAGAAGTTTTATTTATAAAACTTTTCTTCCAACTCGATTAACCAAATATTTTGAAACTTTACAACGTGAATAGGAAGACTATAAGGAAGGTCCTGAAACTCATGAAATTTCAATTCTTTGCTAATTTATTTATAGGTATTTTAAAAATAATTTACAAAAATGAAATTTCGCAAGTTTCAGAACCTACCTTAAGGTCTCCATACTCACGTTTTAAAGTATCAAACGATTTGAGACACCCATTTCGTTAAAAAGTTTCATGAACGATTGAGCTTTCGGATGCCACTTTCATATCCCCTTAAGGTTATGTGAAAGTGACGTCGACGAGGTTTTGTTTATAAAACTTTTCTGCCAACTCGGTTTACCGAATAGTTTGAAACTTTACAACGTGAATAGGGAGACTATAAGGAAGGTCCTGAAACTCATGAAATTTCAATTGTTTTCAAATTTCTTTATAGGTATTTTAAAAATAATTTATAAAAATGAAATTTTGCAAGTTTCAGGACCTACCTTAAGGTCTCCGTATTTACGTTTTAAAGTATGAAACGATTTGGGACACCTAGTTCGTTAAAAAGTTTTATGAACGATTGAGCTTTCGGATGCCACTTTCATATCCCCTTAAGGTTATGTGAAAGTGACGTCGACGAGGCTTTGTTTATAAAATTTTTCTCCCAACTCGATTTACCAAATACTTTGAAACTTACAACGTGAATAGGGAAACTATAAAGAAGGTCCTGAAGTTCATGAACTTTCAATGGTTTTCAAATTTGTTTATAGGTATTTTCAAAATAATTTATAAAAATGAAATTTCGCAAGTTTCAGAACCTAGCTTAAGGTCTCCATATTCATGTTTTAAAGTATGAAACGATTTGAGACACCTAGTTCGTTAAAAAGGTTTATGAACGATTGAATGCCACTTTCACACCCCCTTAAGGATTTCAACTAGGATGTTGGTGCAACCGACTCTAACGAGATTGTTCAGTATTTCGGTAGTCCTTCTCAAAGGGATATATAATGCAAGATAGTTTGGATAGCCGTTGAAGCGATCTGGAATCCTATGCTTACGTGCGTCGATTAGAAGTATCTGGTTGTATGTCTCTTTCGAAGAGTATCGCACGACGACGCTTCTGCCCAACACCGTATTACGAGGTTAGGTATTCGGTTGTCTCGCTCCTTTGCTCGGTATTGCACGTTTCGCTGTCCGAGGACACGCATAAAGGAAATCATCGGCCGAATTTTTACTTTACTCGAGTATTACTGCTCGAACCAAGGATCTCTATCTTAATGTAAAGACATACCGATAATGTCTACAAGGCGTGTATCTAGACTTAATGGGGACGAATCAGCATCGACCACCTCGATTCGTCTCTGCGAATGAAATATTTACTGTACTGACTCGATCGAACTAAACGAAGAAATACTTTATAATCACGAGACACGAGACTTGTATGTACGCTTGAATGGGTGACATATTAAATGAATATTGCACGTCTTCGTTTTCTTTATTGGCGTGGTCTCCGACCCACCTTTCTCAACGATCAGTTCCCTTTTCCCTGTTTTTCTGGAAGGGTAATGAGGGTAATGTTACGTCCCACGTAACTTCACCCCTCCAATTACATATATTATATAAATGAAGCGTCGATTACTATTTTTTAAAAAAATATAAGACTGTATAAGGGTTCGTTCTATTTATTAATAAATACTTTGTTAATTTTATATGATTTGATTTATTGAACATACTAAAATAGAAGTTCAGTGCAACATGGTAAGTATAATTTCGTCTTTCAGATATTACGATACAACGAAGCTACTATATTATTTCTTTTCTCTGTAGCTGCTTGTAACTCGATTTCATAATTTTCAACTGTAAGAACTTCATCTATTTCAGTATCATCGTCGGTGTCTATTACATCACAGTCATGTAAATCATCATTGTCAATTATATAATTGTGTAGTACACAAGCGGCTGCTATTATATTATTCCCCAAATCAAAATCTGTTATGTCTAAATATTTTAATCTTCGCATCTTCCATGTTAAGTGTCCAAAAGCTAGTTCTATAATTGAGCGAATTGAGCCGAACCTTGTATTATAGTGAACTTGAGCTCTCGTAAGCTGTTCGGTATCTCTAAAAGGAGTTAATAAATTTTGCATTAATGGATAGGCTGAATCACCAATTAGATGTTCGTCTTTGGAAAGTAGAGGGTTATTCCGGTTGGTTAGTCTTCGGAAAATTGGACTGCTTCTAAAAACTCGTGCATCGTGCATTCTACCAGGTAAACCAACGTAGCAATCGATAAATCGCGCTTGATGATCACAAATGCCTAAAACAAATGCAATTACAAATATGAATTTCATTTTCAACAAAAAATACTACAAAGAGAAACCAATTTTCAGAATACATATAAACGTATTACCCTGCAAAATGATAGAATGAAATCCTTTTTTATTGTAGTAATCATTGGCATTTCCTGCAGGTTGTTTACAGGGTATGTGGCAAGTATCGATAACACCTATGATGCCTGGTATTCCATGTGAACGTCTTTTAAAAATCTGTAAAAAAAATTATCTTACAATTTGTATGATTACATTCGTAACAATAATTAGTATTACACATTTAATCAAAATACTTACATTTGCGATAATTCGTTTATTGTAATTATTTGGCCATTTAATATGCTTATAACGTAGCGTGGATAGAACCATAATAATTTCTTTGAAAATATAATGTGCCGAACTAGGGGGTACATTAAATCTATCGCCAGCTGCTAAGAAGCTTTCTGGCTTACTTATCATCCACAGTGTAAATAAAACTTTCTTGTCAAGAGGTATTGCATCATTTTGTCGTTCACCCATTTCGTTTCCAATTATGTGTACGAGATTCTAAAAAATAATAAAAGAAGTGCATATGTAAATCAATTATTGCTCAAGTAGAACATAAGAAAGAAAAAGATATGTTTCAATACCTCGCAAGCAACCCTCGTCATACGAAAATGTTCTTTAAACTGAATATCGGTGTAAGATGGAATTGTTGTTTCAAAATATTCATTATTACGTTCTTTCAATGTTCTTTTATATCCTCGTACGTTAAGTATATCAGGAATGGGATCTACGAGTTCATTGATGATTTGTTCTACATGACGTATCATTGGATTTGCTGGTACATCATCACTTCCAATGAATAACAATAGTAGATCTTGTACGTCCATATTTCTTTTCAAAGAAATAATACACGACGTACGTGTACTGTAAGCACTGACTGCTAATATAATTAATATAATTAATATAATTAGATTAGCAGTCAGTGCTATAAGGAGGTTAGGTCACACAACCCTGGGTGCCGCCATATTATGGTCACTGAACAGTCCATTCAGCACAATTCAGCAGAAAATCGCAACATGTTCCCAACTCATCGATAACCGCTTTTCTCCTCCGAATGCACCCACTGTCTTCTCCGACCTCGCGGCGTTCTAGCGGCGGGAAATTCGAAACAGTTTATTGTTCTTATTTTAAATACGAAATAGAAAATGGTATTTTACGTTTCAGATACCTACTTCGAATGAATTCAATTCATAAAAGGTACTCAGATTTGCGTTTATAAGAAACTCGGATAAGAAAAGTCTTACTTATATTTACGGATGCTCATTTATATGCTCATTTAGTGATTTACAGGTGTCCATTTATTCAAGGAATACGAAGAAAGGTGTAGAACGTAAATATATAAGAGACATGAAATCATGATTCCGCTTCTATGTCCGAAAGTGGATGCATTGTAAATTTTCCTACCGCATTTCATTGTATAAATATTAATAAACTATTCTTTTGAGCTAAGATAATATTCTAACTTCGTTTTAGTGTATGGAACAATTGAATCGCTAAGAAACTAATTAACTTCTAATAAAACTTGCTTTAATATATTCTTTAAGAAATTTTGTCAATAATCATTTAACAAAAACTACACTAAGTGGGTCAGGGACGCTTCACAGTAATACATAAATAATTTTTATTAATTGTTTTTGTTTATACATATTTATTTTCCTTGGGAAATCCGTTCTGCCCCTTAGGCGATTCAAATTTCGCGCTGCTCCCGCCGCTAGTTCGCCGCGCGGCCGGAGAGGGCAGTAGGTCCGCGAGGAAGGCATTGATGAATGCCAGTGTATATAGTGTATAGAATCCCGCTACAGGCGACACGTTCCACGGAGGGAATCCCCCACTTTGGCAACTCTAATATCGCGATCATCAAACGATTGTCAACGGTTGCCAACGGTTGCCGTTTTGAAAGTATCGAAACTACGTAGCAAGTGCGAAGTAAGCAAGAGTAATCAAAAATATTATCGCGAAGAATTCGTACAGTATCGAAATAAGGTATTTAAGTGAAATGGATCGTGTTTTGCTTACTGTAAACCAAAAATTATTTGAAATGAACCGGTACAAAGAGCACTGTGTCAAATTTAAGACATTCACCACCGACGAACAAAGGATTATATATACGTTTAATCTTATCCAAGAATTGGGTATTCGACCAGAGTCAACATATTTCAAAAAGGATGCGGCATATTCTAGATTCGTCAGAGAAGTAGGCAATGAAGTATTTACTGCAGGTCCTGCCGATGGTTTACGGTATATGACTGCCCTGAAAGCTTACTCGGAGAGCATCGCTTTTGCCCCTCTTAGATCAAAGGAGCTCGCTCTGGCTTATGCCAATAGGTCCGCAGTTCTGTTACGATTTAAGAAATATAAGGAATGTCTGGGAGATATCGACAGAGCTTTGAGTCTTGATTACCCTGATAATTTAAAGCGGAAGCTGTTACTGCGCAAAAGAATGTGTCGTAAGGCTCTCGGAGAGCCAGAATGTGAAAAAATGTTTAAGAAAGCTGGCCGATCGACAAAGAAAGGTTCAACAAAGGAGCATACAAAAGCCATTCCTGAAAATTTAGCTCAAACGAACGGACAGAATGAAACACAAAGACAGGTGGAAGAAACAGAATACCCTCTTCCAAAGATTACCTCCTGTAATCCTGAAATTCCTTTTGCCTGTGATGCCATAACAATTGAATATGACGATACTTTTGGGAGGCATCTTGTAGCTACGCGAGACATAAAACCTGGAGAAATCCTTTTCGTTGAAAAACCGTATGCTTTCATGTTGAGACCGGATAATACGTATACACATTGTGCCAAATGTTTAAACGTTGCTTGGGACAGCATTCCATGTGATCATTGCGTTCACGTAGTGTTTTGTTCCGAAAAGTGCAAGAAAGAAGCATTTAAAGAGTTCCATGACATCGAATGTTCCGTAATTAGTCTTTTGTTGAATCTAGAAATGGACATACTCAGCTTTCTGGGTATGAGGCTCGCTATAATTGCCATGAAGAAAATGGGCAATTCAGAGGCATTGCGAAAAGAGTTTGAGATTGTCGATAACTGGAAAGGTGTTAAGAAACATTAGATTATAAATATTGAAGGCTATTTCTGAAATAAATGAATTTACAGATTCTAATAATAGAATTGTTCTCTTCTGGCGTAGATCCTCGAACACGTGGGTACTCAGATGATGGAAAATTTAATGGTGAAGATTACCGCACTGTGTACAGCGCACCAACTAATACTGATAAGATGCCTGTGGAAGATCTCTTTCGCAGAGCTTTATGTACAACATACATTCTCTTTTTTTTGGCAACGAGGACTATGATGTTTGGAAAGAAGTTGGGAGCGAACCTTCTAGCCCTTGCGAAGAACCCGGAACTTACCTTTGTTGGTGGAATGATATTCCGTCACCTACTAATAGGTCCTCGCAATGTTCGTACGGTATGAATACTTCCATATTTAATTTATAATTTATTACTTATATTACAAATTTTTCCCTATATTCATTTACTGCTTTCTACTATCAGTTCCGAGAAGAACAAGAGTGTGGAGATGTTTGGCGTGGTGCAGTCTTTGTACCATTTACCAGCCTTTGTCTTCACAGTTGCGATCCCAATGTCACTCGGCAGTCTATAAAGCAGCATGTGGTTGTTTATGCTCTTCAACCAATTAAAAAAGGTGGTCAGGTAATTAACAACTATGTTTTTCTTATATAGCTGCACAGAAATGAGATACTCGATCATTCCATATTAAGCATTCGGGTAATTCCAGGATAGACAGACTACCTTTAAAAAGCATATTTTGTGGGAAGGAGTCACTGACTAATGAAGGAAAAGGCATTTATAAATATTTTGTCATATTCTATATTTATATTTATATTTTTATATTATATATTTTTTTATTGTTTGGCAATGCTTTTTATTGTAGACCAAAAAATTTAACACAAACTCTACAGACACAACATAACATTGATATTCAGTTATAGAAAATAAAGTTTAGTAGTTCAATTGAGGTGATGTGAAAGTGGCGACAAAGTCTGGTCTTGTTTATGAAACTTTTCTCCGAATTGGGTATACCAAATCGTTTGAAACTTGAGAATGTGAATATAGAGGCTGTAAGGAAGGTCCTGGATCTCATGAAATTTCAATTTTTTAAAAATTTGTTCATAGATATCTTCAAGACATTTTATAAAGAATGAAATTTCATGAGCGTCAAGACTTTCCTTAAAGCCTCCACATTCGTACGTCACCTTAAGATGAAATGATAGGTTCAACCTATATGTATCGATGAGGTCCAATCGTTTGTGAAAGTATCCTCCGAAATGGATGTACCGATTCATTTCAAATTTTACCATGTGCCCACTGAACACTAAACCTAACAGTTATGTAACTTAAAACTAACAAATAATATAACGTTTGTTACAGTGTAATAACCTAACAGTTACGTAACGTAGAGCTAACTGGTTACATGACATTTGTTACAATGCAGGAATTTAACAGTTATGCAACATGGAGCTAACAGGTTACATAATATTTGTTACTATCGTATCTATTTAAATTTAGCGTAACTTCGTTACTCTTACATTATGTTACTGTCCTGATATTACAGTGTACATGCAGCACATATTTGTAACAAAACGGAACTACATTGGTGCTAACTGCCATCTATTTTATTACACCATCGTCATCGTCATTGTCATAATTCATCGTCAAATGTCATATTTTGTTTACTACTTGTATGAAAAAAATGTGATTTTAATTCGCATGCGCATACACATTATCAGTAATTGTTTGCTAGTCGAATGAAATTATTGTTTTTTATTTAAAATCAGATAGTTTATGGTTTACTTAATTTCATTTAAAGTCTGATTTATTATATAATACCTAACCATTGCCAAGTGCCACAATATATTACGAAATAAAAAATTACATAATTTTTTTAATAAAATTCTATTATTTTTTATCAAATGTTTGAAAAATTAATATTAATGTAACATGTTACCTTATTGAGGAGGAAATAATAACAAACATCTAACTTACATGTTACTTTTATGATACATAACACGTTAGCTTTGGAAACGTAACATTTACCTAACAGTTATATAACAGTGTTCAGTGGATAGTAGTTTTGTCATTTGGAGTTTAATCTGTAAACGTTATAGTTAGCCCATCTCAGGCAGTGTTTCAGCTTTCTCTGAATTACCCTATGCCGAAAGGTCTTTCGAGAAGTTTTTATGAAAAATGAATGATGATCAAAGATATTTTCCACAAATCTTAGAGATTGCCTGTACTCATTATTTCAATGAAAATTTCAGTTGTTCAGTAACTATGTGCCTTTCTTCGGTATTATGAAAAAGGATGCTAGGCAGAAGAGACTCAAAGAACTGTTTTACTACGAGTGCAAATGTCGACCATGCAACGAGAATTGGCCTACGCATTTAGAACTGCCATCGTATACGGTAAGCTGAAGAAATGATATTAAAAAGAACCGATATACCTATGATATCGAACTATTACTATTCTGTAACAATGTTACAAATCTGTCAGCATTGTACTTATACATACATTATTAAGGTGAAGTGAAACACGTCGAGGAACTTGATCGANTATTTAATATTTAAATGATGATATTTAATGATTAAATGATGATATTTAATCATTAAATGATGTGTCAAAGTTTCGGACAGTTTGGTCTAATAACCTTAAAAAAAAATGTTGTATTCGAATCGACTGATTTGAAGGGGGTTTCACTTCACCTTAAATGATACAGAAAAATTTGTAACGTTCATATTATTGTTCCGGGACTGTGTTTGGTCAGTTTACTTTACAATCAGTATTTTTATATTCAATGTATTTTTTTTCTCGATTACAGCACTGGGTCACTTCTTCGCGTGAAATGGAAAAAATCGAGGAAGCTCTCCGAAATTTTGATCGATACTGGCATCTGGTAGCAGTAGGGGATATTAAAAAGGAACCTAACCTGTTAAAGTATATGTTCAAGGTGGTCGAGGTCTTGTCTGAAAGTGTACCTCTGCCGTGTATAGAAATGATCGACGCCATTAAGGCAATTACATACATCGAAGCATTACAAGGAAACACTTTTTTCATACCAGACATTTAAAGGTCTGCCACCGTGAGCGTTTTGTAAGTTTTATGTGGATTCAGAAATCCTACCGAAAGTATTTTTAGAACGACTGAGTTGAATATGTTTCTTAAGGTCATATGAAAGTGTCATATATACATACAAAAAAATCAAAATATTTATAAAACTTTTCATCAAATTGGGTGCACCAAATCATTTAAAATTTCATCACGAGATTATGGAGGATCTAAGGAAAGAACGCGATGCTCGTGAAATTTCCTTTTTTAAGAAATAATTTGTATTTATCTCGAACCAAAAAAAGACATTTGTTTTTTTTTTTCGAAAAATGAAATTTCTCGAGTATTGCGTTCTTCCTCAGGGCCTCCATAATCACGTGTTAAAGTTTCAGATAATTCAGTGCACCCAGTTTGGAAAAAAGTTTTATAAATATTTTCACATTTTGACACCTATAGAACGACCCTTTCATATCACCTTAAGGGAATGTGGAAGTGGCATCTGAGATATCAATCGTTCAAACTTTTCTCCCAGCTGGGTGTACCGAATCGTTCCAAACTTTATAACGTGAATGTGAAGACTATAAGGAAGGTCTTGAAACTCATGAAATTTAATTTTGTATAAAAAAAATGTTAGAATATCTGTCAACAAAATTAAAAAAAAACATGTAATTTCATGGGCGTCAGGACCTTCCTTATAGCCTCTATATTCACATTGTAAGGTCTAAAACAATTTATTCTTTAGAGTCTCCATAATCACGCGTTCATATTTCAGATAATTCGGTGCACCCAGTTTAGAGAAATGTTTTATAAATATTTTCATGTCTTGACACATATAGAACGACCTTTTTATATCGCCTTAAGGGGATGTGGAAGTGGCATATGAGATATCAATCGTTCAAACTTTTCTCTGAACTGGATGTACCGAATCGTTTCAAACTTTACAACGTGAATATGGAGGCTATAAGAAAGGTCCTGACACCCATGAAATTTCATTTTTAATACAAAATTTAAAAGACACCTATAAAGAAATTTTTAAACAATTAAAATTTCATGGGCGTAAGGACCCTCCTTATAGCCTCCATATTCACGATGTAGGCTTTGAAACGATTCGATACACCCAGTTCAGAGAAAAGTTTCATAAACGAGACCTCTGCATTACCACATTCACATCGCCTTAAGAGGATGTGAAAGTGGCAGCTGTGATATTAATCGTTCAAACTTTTCTCCAAAATGGATGTACCGAATCGTTATAAACTCTACAATGTGAATGTAGAGGCCCTGAGGTTGATCCTGAAACTTGTGAAATTTAATTTTGTATGAAACATTTTTAAAACATTTATAAACAAATGTTTAAAAGATTGAAATTCTATGGGCGTCACCTTCTTTTTAGCTTCCATATTCACATTGTCAAGTTTGAAACGATTCGGTACACTCGCTTCGGGGAAAAGTTTCATAAACGAGACCTCTTCATGCCACTTTCACATCACTTTAAGTCCCTTGGTAATTCACATTCAAGTCAAAAAAAAAGAAGTAGACTAGTTTGATTCAATATATTTTCATCGGAAACATTCATTATATCACTATGGCTATAATAATACTTAATAAGTTTATTAACTACTTAATAAGATTAGAAAACAAATAAGATGATTTTTTTATTCGCAGGAGGTTCTATTTTATATTTGTTTATTTTCTTGTGTTTTGAAGAGCTTTAAAGAGTTTTAAAGAGTTAATAATACTTAATAAGTATAATAACTACTTAATAAGATTAGAAAACAAATAAGATGAGTTTTTTTATTCCCAGGAGTTTCTATTTTGTATTTGTTTATTTTCTCGTGTTTTGAAGAACTTGTTATCCGAGTAGAAATGATAATTGGGTTCCGATTGTCTCGATGTGGCACCCGATCGGCACGCTCATCGGGTAATTGTCAAGTATATTATTTTATTCCTCGCTAAGGGATAATAAACTGTATTAAAAATTATTCATCCGAAATTTTTCGTTATTTTGTTTTTCTTTTATCTTGACAAAATAATCCAAAAGCTTTTACCACGGGTCTGACGTGCACTATTTATCGAAGATTACTCGCACCCATTCTTGAGTCCTTTGTTTTTGTGGTAGAACGTTATCTTTTATAAAGTTGCTGTAGATAATATTTAAAATATCCCAGGTTCCTAAAATGTACTTGATGATACTTTAAATTTTACTCTATTGTCCGTGTTTAATCGAGTTCCTTTCTCAACGTTAGCGATCGTACAGATGTTGTCTATGGAGTCATCTTTCAACTCATCTCTGATTTTTAAGCGTGGCGAGGAGAGTTGGGTAAGTATAATACGTCCAGTAATATACGGGGTTTTCTACATGTATATTACAACGTATAATACGTCCTTAGTTTTCTATGCAGGCGCAAAGTATATTACCCCGAACTAAGGGTTTGTTGGCGTTGACTGCACTTTCTACACTCGAGTGTAACGAGTGTATTACACTTTTCTTGAAAAGTGCAGAAGGGTAGATACACTTTCATTGACATTCCGATTGTTGGCGTTGACTGCACTTTCTACACTCTAGTGTAATGAGTGTACTACACTTTTCTTGAAAAGTGTAGAACACTAGAACTTTTCTTGAAAAGTGTAGAAGGGTAGATACACTTTCGTCGACATTCCGAACGCCAGAAACCTCACGAAAGTCCAAGATGACCAATTTAGTAGAGAGGTACGCGATTTTGAGGTTATCTGTATCGAGCGATGATGAATACGAAAATGTGATTCTTCTTCCAGCCTTCCTTCTTGAGCTGTCTTCGTTTTTCTTCAAATCCTACAATTCGTTCTATTACCTTGTAATTGTAGAAGATGAAAATTCCATTCACGAATTTCAAGTATTGAGGATTAATAAGGGTAAAAATATTATTGCAGTAGAATAAAAAGCAATTTAACTACACAGTGAAAAATTATAGTTTAGTTCATTCCAACCGCAGTTATGTAGTAATACATAATTATTGTAAATTGTTTTAAACGATATGTACAAAACTAAAACCCCAAATCGTTCTATATATGAAGATGCATTAAGAATTCATTCTATTTATATTACGTTGAGGTGTTAGCATAAACTTTGTATTTTTCTGTTTATTGGTCTTTTAAATTTTGAAATTTGCGGGCTACACTTATTGCCCTCGCTCGGGATCAGGGGGATGACACTAGAGTTCTAAATCCAGTAAATTACGTCAGAAACGAAGAGAAATTCCCGGTAACTTATCGGTAATTTCTCTAAAGCCTTTTTTTTATCGAGAAATGATGAGAATTTGAATTTTTCAACAGAGCGAACGAGAGGTATCGATTAGCTATAGAGAAACATCGTAGAGGGAAATTTCCGTTGTACGTTCTCCGTAGCTAATCAAAACCTCCCATTCCCTCGTCGCAGAATGAAATATCAGTTCATTTGAAACAAATCGCATGGAATTTTCCGTGAAGTTGTATATACGTGAATATTTTTAGCTGGGGGTAAATACCACCCTATGCTCAATATTTTCTAATAGTAATTATTACTTTTTAGCTTGAACTTTGAAGTTGATTGAAAAAAAACAAAGTTATTTAAACGAAGAAACCTAAAGCATAAATAAGAAAATTAAGGTTCTCTTAAATTCTCAATGTTCCCGGTAACTTACGGTATGTTTCACAGTTACCTTCTCCAATTTAATGTTATCGAGAATTTTCAAACTCTAGATGACACTCCTTATGGAAGGAGTGTAACGCGGAAGTTAGTTCACTTACTCCAAGCAAAGACTGCGCTAGTGTCGTGACTTCTCACTCTAATAGAAAGAGAACAGAGAAAAAAATATTTTAACTAATAGCAAAATACTCCAGGCGCAGCGTAGATGCGCATGAAAATAGTCCGGACAAGTGAACCAAAGTGAACCTAACCTCGATTAGTGGCAATATTTTTACAAGTTTCGATTACCTCGGGTATTAAATCGCGAACGTGAGTTTGTGAGTAAAAGTGTAAATCAAGAACAGTTTGTAGTTTCTTACTATAATAATTGTAATAATTAAATGGATTAAATGCGATCTATAGAACGCGTTTAATCCATGAAAGTAATCATAACAAAAATTAAATTTGTATAGAATTTGTATATTTATACATTCATGATAATTAATATTTTTATCTTAATAAATATGTTACTTTTTAACTAATGTTTAATATAATTATTTCAGTTCTTACAGTGATTTAAAACAGGCGTTGCGCCACTGACACTTTTGTTACTTCTTTTATGTTTAATATACTGTTTTCTTACATTTGTGTGTCACTTTAAGCAACGTCTGTTTCGATCATTGCAAGTACTTTTTAAATCTCGAAAATATCCCTTCGTTTAATAAATGAATTTGAATAGCCCGCCAAATATTTTAGTTCGCGAAGAAGGTGTACTTCAACCGAAGATGGCGGTAGTGCATAAAGCGTTACACCCCAATACATGGCAGTGCCGACCCCCTGGGCCCGATTGACTGATGTTCTCGCGTTAACGTTGAGCATTTAAGCGTTTCGTTTTCGGTGAAATCGGCGGAGACATTAAGATTGCAATTAATATGAGCGAGAGTACTCCCATGAACCAAGTTCCTGAAAGCAACGGAGGAACGGAGTCGGCAGGAATGAATGGCGAAGCCGGCGAGCACCCTGGCGAGTAGTTGAAAAGTCCACTTTTGTATTTTCCATAACTTCCCAAGACCTGTGTCAAAAGACATATCAGAAATCTGCGTTAAATATTATACTTCCTCTTAAATGGCTTAAAATGATACGTCATCTGTCGCAAAACCTTTTCACGATACTGCCATATCATTTAACCAAGATTTTCAAATAATGTGTTCAATTAGTTTTACCATGTCAACGTTGATTCATAATTACTGTGCAAATAAAAATGATTACATGGAGACCAAAAAAAATTATGAAACTAATGTCTCGGTTGAAATTTGTACACTTTATATCGTTACGATGATCACAATCTTGTCTTTATTTATAATCAAAAACTCGGTAGAGTTCGAGGCAAATACATTTTTGAGAGAGAAACGCGTAACGTTGAGTGATGCGAGATAGCCTATTTCATAACTTTTTTACTTTCCATTCTTGATAGTTGTCCTGTATGCAGATGTTTTGAATTATATTACATTGTCAACTCTTTCATGGAAAAATGTAACCAGCTTCATTTTTCTATTATAGTTCCGTATCAAAGCTTTTAGCGTCAATGATCAACGGTGCGATTAGATACCTATTTGAAGAAAAACTATTTGACAAGGCTTAAAATTAAGTACATGGATCTTTATTTGTATTAATGCAGTAATGTAGTAATCCTAATGCAGGAATGGGCCTTGGTGCGCTTGTGCCACCGGTCGAATTGCCGCCAAACTCGGAAGATAAGCCGCTGGATAAAATATCCAATGATATGCCGGACAATGTACTGGACAAGACGCCAGACTCCGTGTCGGAAGGTGGAGCGAAAAAAGGCGTCGTCACCCCTGGGGGGAATGGCTCGGCAATTGTTGCTAATCGCGCCAAGAAGCGTAAGAAGGTACCTCGTGATGCCACTGCTCCCAAACAACCACTGACGGGTTACTTTCGGTAAGAGTTTAATGTATACAATGCGTGTACGTGTATATTTGGTGCGAAACTGTATTAAGCTTCCTGATAGAATACTTTCTATTGACTGTCATTTGTGGTCATACTTTCTTCCGTTTGCACAGATTTCTTAATGACCGGAGGGAGAAGGTTCGAGGAGAAAACCCATCTATGTCATTTGCTGAAATCACTAAGCTTCTTGCCTCGGAATGGAGTAATCTACCTGTTGACCAAAAACAGGTAAATTTTGGTATACTATGGCAGTGATTTTTAATCAGTGTTTTGTATATTGTTTTAATGAGTTATATGACGTCCCTAAAGCTAGCAGCGCCACGTTAGCATAACCGCATAAATCATACACCAAAATTTATTGCTCTTTTATTACTTATTTATTACACAAATTTGAATTTGATTGCTCGAGCCATTTTAAAAAAATCAATGGCTATGCCAGCTTTAACATTAAGGTGGCAGCGCCACCAGACATTTTGTGTGAAATTAAAAAAATAAGTGGTGCAAAATGTAGGAAAAATTGATTGCTTATTTATTGCTCAATTTACAATTTCACTGCTCCACCCCTTGAGCCCAAAAATTACCCCCTCCACATATACATGAACTGCCTGTCCTTCCTAACTGGCATAAATACATTTTTATAAACTAGAATTACTTCTCGGGACGTGGCGCTGCTACCTTTAAGGTGAAGTGAAACACGTCGAAGAACTTGATCGACGTCGATAAAGATTTTTCTAAATGCCTACGTTGCCGACGTTGGTTTTTATATTGACAGCTATGTCGAATTATATTGGGTATTGTACCAAATGGCACATTCCACCTGTCGTTTTCGTACAATAATTATAAAGAAATCGAAGTAAAACTCCAGAAATCCTCTGGATTCGTGCTTTCTGGGGCCCTAATTGACTGCGGAGGGACCCCCTGCGCCATCTGTGATTTCCAGGTCAATTAAATTTTCACTCCGAGACCTCGTATTACCATCGTTTTAGCAAAGAAGCGCATACAACACTTTTTTTGCCTTTATCCCGTTCAAATGCGAGTTTATCGATTACCAGAGTGTTCTAAATTGTCGTAAAATTGTTCTGACCCTTTCGATTCTCATATCAGAGCCTTCGATAATTGTATATCGATCGAAATATGAGAGCTCGACGCCATTTTGGTTCTGTTCTGGGCTGTGTTAACAATTTTTTATACAAAATCTAAATTTTGAATGTGTCAGGACAATTCTTAGATAATCACGAGTCATGTGTCAAAGTTTCGGCTTTAGTTCAATACCCTTAAAAAAAAAGTGTTGTATTCGAATTGACTGATTTGAAGGGGGTTTCACTTCACCTTAAACTTATTTAGTACCGCTGCCCGAGTCTAGTGGCGCTGGGGTGCCTTGTCGAAGTTTTCTGCGTATTGATCAAATAGGTATCAGCTGTCCAGTTACGTCCTTACTCATACCTCACTTTTAGCAGCGCTTTTAAACGTCTTTTGGTTAAAGATGATTGGACCGCTGCTAAAAAACGCCATACTCGTACCTTCTTTTATGACCGCTTTTAGTTAAAAGGCCGCTTTTATAAAATGTAATATGACAACGATGAAAAAATGTGACGACTGCGTTCCGCGTGTGTTTTTTGTATGCCAAAAATTGAGAGTCTGCTGAACTTTGCTACCAAAATGGAAAGCGAATTTGACAGAATAAAGCCGAAACCAAAGCCCAACTTTTTGGTTAGCCAAGAACGGCATAAATTCGACTTCAAAAGTCCCTGGTATTTATTTGATGCCCTGTATTCACTTCGCGAGCTTTTGCTCCGTGAAAAATGTCGTTAATGCATTCCATTTTTCATGTACGATTTCAACAACTAAAAGCTGTCGAAATTTAATGTATGATTTTGATAACTAAAAGCGGTTTAAAAGTCCCCGTACCCATTTTTAGGGAATCGTCGCTCCCTCTTATCCTAAAAGCGCTCAAAAAGAAGCTTAAAGGGGGGTATGAGGATGTATTGCTGCTAAAATACATCTTTTATGGCTTCTTCTAAGGATTTTCTATAAAACTGGTTCAAAAGCGAGACATGAGTAGGGTCGCTTTTAACAGTGCTCTAAAATACGTCTTTTAAGGGGATGTGAAAGTGGCATCCAAAAGCTCAGTCGTTCATAAAACTTTTCTACGAACTGGGGGTCTCAAATCGTTTCATACTTTAAAACGTAAATATCGAGACCCTAAGGTAGGTCCTGAAACTCGCGAAATTCCATTCTTTATTAACTATTTTCAAAATACCTATATACAAATTTGAAAAGAATTGAAATTTCGTGAGTTTCAGGACCTTCCTCATAGTCTCCCTATTCACTTTGTAAAGTTTTAAACTATTCGGTAAATCGAGTTGGGAGATAAGTTTTATAAACAAAACCTCTTCGACGCCACTTTCACATCACCTTAACTCTAAAAGTGAGATACGTGTAAAGAAGTATCCTAAAAGCGCTCAAAATGAAGCTTAAAAGAGAGTATGAGGAGGTATTACTGCTAAAATACGTCTTGTAACGCTAAAAGTGAGATACGTGTAAAGAAGTATCCTAAAAGCGCTCAAAAAGAAGCTTAAAGGGGGGTATGAGGAGGTATTGCTGCTAAAAGACGTTTTTTAACGCTAAAAGTGAGATACGTGTAAAGAAGTATCTTAAAAGCGCTCAAAAAGAAACTTAAAGGGGGGTATGAGGAGGTATTGCTGCTAAAAACGTTTTTTAACGTTAAAAGTGAGATACGTGTAAAGAAGTATCCTAAAAACGCTCAAAATGAAGCTTAAAAGAGGGTATGAGGAGGTATTACTGCTAAAAGACGTCTTGTAACTCCAAAAGTGAGATACGTGTAAAGAAGTATCCTAAAAGCGCTCAAAATGAAGCTTAAAAGAGGGTATGAGGAGGTATCGCTGCTAAAATACGTCTTGTAACTCTAAAAGTGAGATACGTGTAAAGAAGTATCCTAAAAGCGCTCCAAAAGAAGCTTAAAGGGGGGTATGAGGAGGTATTGCTGCTAAAAGACGTTTTTTAACGTTAAAAGTGAGATATGTGTAATGATGTATCCTAAAAGCGCTCAAAAAGAAGCTTAAAAGGGGGTATGAAGAGGTACTGCTGCTAAAATACGTCTTTTAACGCTAAAAGGGAGATACGAGTAACCCACTGAACACCAAACCTAACAGTTATGTAATTTAAAACTAACAAATAACTTAATGGTAGCTACGATGTAATAACCTAACAGTTACGTAACATAGAGCTAACTAGTTACATGACATTTGTTACAATGCAGTAACTTAACGGTTATGTAACATGGAGCTAACTGGTTATATAACATTTGTTACTATCGTCTCTATATAAATGTAGCGTAACTTTGTTACTCTCATCTTACATTATGTAACTGTCCTGATATTACTGTGTATATGCAGCACATATTTGTAACAAAACAGAACTACATTGGTGCTGTCATTTATTTTATTACATTATCGTCATCGTCATTGTCATAATTCATCGTCAAATGTCATAAGATTAATATATGTCATATTTTGTTTACTACTCGTATGAAAAGATGTGACTTTAATTCATACGCGCATATACATTATCAGTTATTGTTTGCTAGTCGAATGAAATCATAATAGTCTTTAAGTAAAATCAGATAGTTTATTATTTACATAATTTCATTGAAAGTCTGACTTGTCGTTTAATATCTAACTATTGTCAAGTACCAAAAAATAATTAAAAATAAAAATGATATAATTTTAGATAAAATTGCGTCATCTTTTTTATTAAATTTATGAAAAATTAATATTATTCTATGGTAACTGAAATTGTAACATTAATATAACATGTTACCTTACTGAGTGGGAAATAATAACTAACATCTAACTTCCATGTTACTCTTATGCTACGTAACATGTTAGTTTCCGAAAACGGAACATTTACCCAAGTTATATAACAGTGTTCACTGGGAAGGACCTTAGTATATATTATGTAGATCAGCAGTTACAACGCAGGAAATCGGAAATGTCTCCTTTCAGCAATATCTGGATGCTGCTGAACAAGACAAAGAGCGTTACAACCGAGAGTTCAGCGATTACAAGCAGACCGAAGCATACAGGATTTTCAGTGAAAGGCAATCCTCAGAGAAACACAATGAGAGCAAGAGAGAAAGGAACGGTGCGGACACAACTTTGGAACAGAACGTATGTTGATTCAGTTTCAATAATTATGTGAAAAGATACCGATACACGTATTAATTTCTCTTGCTCTTTACCAGGACATTCAGCAAGATAAGGATAACGACTTTTCTGGCTTCGACATTCCAATATTTACCGAAGAATTCTTGGATCATAACAAAGGTGCGAAATACTCATTTTTATTTGGTTATCGGAAGTCGTCAGCTGGACAAGAAATTCGTACAAGTTGGTTTTACGTAGAAAATTTATTTGCCACGGAAATTCAGTATCATTTATTTTAACACGTTGATTGTCACGCTCAGGGTTGGGTAATTCCCCATTTTTCGTCGTTTTTACGGTTTGGCTGAACGTTCAAAGTCTCACACGTCTCTCACACGTTTTGTTCACGTTTAGCCCGACTGAAATACCACGTCTCTCACACGATGTTGTAGGTGAAGAGATTAAGGGGATGTGAAAGTGGAATCTGAGGAGTCAATCGTTCATGAAACTTTTCTCCAAACTACGTGTACCGAATCGTTTCAAATTTTACAACGTCAATATGGAGGCTATAAAGTAGGTCCTGAAACTCGCGAAATTAAATTTTTTATACCAAATTTTGAAAATATCTATAAATCAATTTTCTTAAAAATGAAATTTCACGGGTCCCAGGACCTTCTTTATAGCCTCAACATTCATGTTGTAAAGTTTTAAATNAATAATAATAATAATAACAATGCTGGGGGACCGTTCACAGCTTGCGAGGCAGAATTAAGGCAGCTGCGAAAAGCAACTTCGGACTACGAGGCGCAGAATGCGGTACTGCAGCGTCACGTCGACAGTCTACATGCGGCAGTAAATCGTTTAGAATCGGAAACTAACCAACAGCGCGTCACCAACCAGGCACTCCAACGCCACCTGGATTCCCTCCGATCGCAGATGGCAGGATGTTTTGCTGCCGTTCCTCTGCAAGGTCTGACTTGGTCGTCCTCGAGTAGTGAGCAGAATGCACCGATAGCTGTATTAACTGATTACCTAATATCCCACAAAATGGTGCGACGATCAGAGCATTTTGAATTATGGGCCCGTTAAGGTGAAATGAAACACGTCGAGGAATTTGATCGACGTCGATAAAGAAGATTTTTCTAAATGCCTACGTTGCCGACGTTGGTTTTCATATTGACAGCTGTGTTGAATTATATTGGGTATTGTACCAAATGGCTTATTCCACCTGTCGTTTTCGTACAATAATTATAAAGAAATCGAAGTAAAACTCCAGAAATCTTCTGGATTCGTGCTTTCTTGGGCCCTAATTGATTGCAGAGGGATCCCTTGCGCCATCTGTGATTTACAGGTCAATTAAATTTTCACTCCGAAAGCTCGTGTTACCATCGTTTTAGCATAGAAGCGCATACAACACTTTTTTTGCCTTTATCCCGTTCAAATGCGAGTTTATCGATTACCAGAGTGTTCTAAATTGTCGTAAAATTGTCCTGACCCTTTCGATTCTCATATCAGAGCCTTTGATAATTTTATACTTCACCTTAAGGTGAGGGGCCATATGGAATGCTTCAATTCGTGTAATTTTCAACGTAGACTGTAAAAGACTTCAACATAAATATAAATGTCGGTAACGGGACGCGCCAGTTTGTGAACGACTTGAGAATTCAAAACGGAATCGCCACCAAAAGGGATGTAGATGAATTTTATTTTATCGATGTCGATTAAATCTCTCAGCGCCTTTCATATTATCTTAAGGTGGAGGGAAACACGTCGAGAAATTGGATCAATATCGGTGACAAGGATTCTTTCATCCAATACAGGATCTGGATTCTAGAGAACTTCTGAATTCTTTTTATTTAGTACAGAGAGCAGTGGTTGATAGGGCCATGTCTTAATTGACTTCACGTGATCCACAGGTACCCATGAGGGAGCCACTCCTCAGAACGTCGACGGCTACGTCGAGAGGCTCGAGTCCATGTTAAGTGGAAACGTCGAGCCCTCGCTACGCAGTGCCGTGCGCAACGCCATCGCCAGATTGGAGCCGATCGGATGACGGTCACCTCCCGCCACCACGGGGACTTCGTCCAAGCATCACCGGGCTCGCCATTCGCACCGGAGATAAGGACGCCCTCAAATGGACCTTGGGCGTCCTCCAAGGGCCCGGGCCCCATTCCGTTTCTTGCGCCGCACCGCGTCAGGCCACGCCGGCTCGTAACGATCTGCAAAGCATTGAACCGGGATTGGTGCCAACTTTGATTCCGGCATTCGTCGTCTTAACCCTTTCGGTACGAGTATATATTCGGGATCCATCTGATGATCTGTTTGTACGATTGCCGGATATATCCGGCATCCATCTGATGAATATTTGTGTACGAGTGTCGGATATATCCGGCGTCCATCTGATGAATCTGTGTGTACGATTGCCGGATATATCCGGGATCCATCTGATGGCATGTGTGTACGAGTGCCGGATATATCCGGCATCTATCTGATGAATCTTTGTGTACCAGTGTCGGATATATCCGGCATCTATCTGATGAATCTTTGTGTACGAGTGTCGGATATATCCGGGATCCATCTGATGAATCTTTGTGCACGAGTGTCGGATATATCCGGCATCCATCTGATGAATCTTTGTGTACGAGTGCCCGATATATACGGCATCCATCTGATGGCATGTGTGTACGAGTGCGGGATATATCCGGCATCCATCTGATGACCTGTGTGAACGAGTGTCGGATATATCCGGCATCTATCTGATGAATCTTTGTGTACGAGTTTCGGATATATCCGGCGTCCATCTGATGACCTGTATGTACGAGTGCCCGATATATCCGGCATCCATCTGATGGCATGTGTGTGCGAGTGTCGGATATATCCGGCATCCATCTGATGCATCTTTGTGTACGAGTGTCGGATTATCCGGCGTCCATCTGATGACATGTGTGTACGTGTGTCGGATATATCCGGCATCTATCTGATGAATCTTTGTGTACCAGTGTCGGATATATCCGGCATCTATCTGATGAATCTTTGTGTACGAGTGTCGGATATATCCGGCATCAATCTGATGACCTGTGTGTACGAGTGCCCGATATATCCGGCATCCATCTAATGGCATGTGTCTACGAGTGCCGGATATATCCGGCATCCATCTGACGACCTGTGTGTACGAGTGTCGGATATACCCGGCATCCATCTGATGACATGTATGTACACTGGCGGACAGAGCGCTTGTATCGAAAGGGTTAAGAGTCTATACCATTGTGAACGTCGAAAAAATTACACATATTTGACAATGTTTTTCTCAAAAAGTACTGCATAGGTACAGCCACGGCGCTGACGTCACAAGTGTTGTCCCTAGGTGTCGTTACGTGGCAGCATGGTCAACTCGTTTTTTTTTTTAATTGTACCATTACCCCCTATACCACTGTGAACGTCGAAAAAATTACACATTTTTGACCATTTTTTTTTTCAAAAAGTACTGCGTATAATGGCACACTTTTTTTTTTCCATGAAAGGTCTAATGTAGGAGAATACGGGAAAATTTTTCTTTTTAATAAAAACATTTTTATTTATTTATTATTACAAACGTTGAGTAGTAAATAGTATATTGTGCAACAAGGGCCGAAAGCTGGCGATTATGACGGTATTCACACGAGTCGCAATCGCCAACTTCGGCCCGCGTCGCACACGATACTTTTTCTAACAAGTGCGTGTAAGGCATCTCTGTAAATAATTCAATGCACATAATAGCTGCACTAAAACGAAATTGACAAATGCCGAAACCGGGGTCCAGGGCCGAAGCCCCGGTGGGGGGTTTGGGGGGCCAGGCCCCCCATTCTACAAAAAAAAAAGTAAATGTTCATGTAACAAAAAAGTACCAAACAAAAGCAACAAACAAGCTTGGCAAAATAGGAACAAAAAATTTTATTTATATGTATGAAGTTTTACAAATACTCCTGAATAAGTTTCAAACACTTTATTAAACGAAAAACTTAAAGTATTATATTTCTATATTGTCTTCATAGTACTTGCTATTAATGAACACTTTTTTTTGTTTAATATTAACTCGTAATAGTGTTTTTTATGACTGGGAATTATATTTAGTTTATCATTCTTTGGCACCCATTTTTGGTGATTATAATTAGAGTCTTAATTCTAATTAAACATTGAACGAAAGACTAACTTTGAATGAATGAAAAACTTTGGAAGGAAAAAAAACTTTAAAAGAAAAAATATCGAGGCATCGCCTGGAGAGAAACTACTTAAATGTCACAGTGCAATTTGTACAATTGCTCAGTACAAAAGACAACGGTTGTTTTTATTTTTCTCCAAGGTTTCTTCAGACTTCCTCGTTTATACTATTTCGAAGAATCTTTGATATCGACGCTACAGTTTCCACTTTTCTGGTCTTCGCTGGATTGGTCCAAGTTTTCATCGCACTCCTTAGATTTCAAGTTGATCGATGAGGTTATCATTTTTCCAATTCTTCGCTTGTTCTCAACAGAGTCTTCAATATTTCTTCTGCTACTACGTCTGACCATCCACCATGCCTTTTTATTGTTGCTATATTTGCTCCAGAATCAGCAAAAAGTGTTGCTGAAGTTCTTCGCTCGAATTAACTCGAGCGCACAAGTTAAGGTGAAGTGAAACACGTCGAGGAACTTGATCGACGTCGATAAAGAAGATTTTTCTAAATGCCTACGTTGCCGACGTTCGTTTTTATATCGACAGCTGTGTCGAATTATATTGGGTATTGTACCAAATGGCTTATTCCACCTGTCGTTTTCGTACAATAATTATAAAGAAATCGAAGTAAAACTTCAGAAATCTTCTGGATTCGTGCTTTCTTGGGCCCTAATTGATTGCAGAGGGATCCCTTGCGCCATCTGTGATTTCCAGGTCAATTAAATTTTCACTTCGAAAGCTCGTGTTACCATCGTTTTAGCATAGAAGCGCATACAACATTTTTTTTGCCTTTATCCCGTTAAAATGCGAGTTTATCGTTTACCAGAGTGTTCTAAATTGTCGTAAAATTGTCCTGACCCTTTCGATTCTCATATCAGAGCCTTCGATAATTGTACATTGATCGAAATATGAGAGCTCGACGCCATTTTGGTTCTGGCCTCGACTGAGTTAAAAAATTTTTTTGAAAAATCCAAATTTTGAATGTGTCAGGACAATTCTTAGATGATCAGGAGAGATGTGTCAAAGTTTCGGATAGTTTGGTCTAATATCCTTAAAAAAAAGTGTTTTATTAAAATCGACTGATTTGAAGGGTGTTTCACTTCACCTTAACAGTAACAGGGTCCTACAATTCGTTCTATTACCTTGTAATTGTAGAAGATGAAAATTCCTTTCACGAATTTCAGGTATCGAGAATCAATAAGGGTGAGAATGTTATTGCAGTAGAATGAAAAGCAATTTAACTACAACAGGGAAAAATGATAGTTTAGTTCATTCCAACCGCGGTTACGTAGTAATACATAATTATTGTAAATTGTTTCAAACCTTACGTACAAAACTAAAACGCTAAATCGTTCTATACACGAAGAAGATGCATTAATAATTCCTTCTATTTATATTGCGTTGAGACGTTAGCATAAATTTTGTATTTTCCTGTTTATTGGTCTTTTCAATTTTGAAATTTGCCGCCAAATTCCCGGACTACCCTTCTTGCTCTCGCTCGGGATCGAGGGTAGAAAGTGTAGAGAAAGTGTATCCTCGGGGTAGATGCCCTCGCAAAACGAACAGCGACATCTGCGTCACTTCCGTCAAAACGAACGCCAAAGTGTACCCTTTTCGTAAAAGCGTAGAAAGTGTAGGCAAAACGAACAAACCTCATATCTGCTATGAACCGACCCTTGGCGTTATGTCCCCTTATAATATTTCATGGACGATGACTTTCGGCTCGAAGTTCGGCGTCATCCACGGTCGATGTTTATGTATATACAGTAGGCACCCCCACATCGGAAATATGGAAGGAAACCTATTGGAGAATTTAGTGCTTTATTAGTGGTATTTTAGTGCTACAGCCTAGATTTTAGTGCTCCGCCCCTTATACCGAAAATCGGTGGTGGTGCTGAGTGAACGTTCACTCAGCACCCCCATAGAGCATATTACGTTAAGGGAAAGATTCACGGAAAAAACGAGTGTGCAGCATTTTGGTGCTATTTTAGTGCTCTAGAAATACCCAAGAGACAGATACGAAACATCACCCCCTTCACCCTAAAACTACCCCCGATCATATAGGCTCCAAGAAAGAAGAGGTAGAAATAATAACACATTTTACACGTTCGTCTCTCGCATTATTTTGGTGTTATTTAAGTGCCTTAAGGATATCCAAGAGCCAGATTCTAAAGACCACCCCTTTCACCTCAAAACCACTCCCAATCGTATAGGCTCCAAGACGGAAGAGGTAGAAATATCAAAATTTGCACGTTCTCTTTTCGCATTAGTTTGGTGCTATTTATGTGCTCTGTGGATACCCACGATATCCTTAAAGCACTTAAATAACACCAAAATAATGAGAGAGAAGAACGTGCAAAATGTGTTATTACTTCTACCTTTTCTACCTTGGAGTCTATACGATCGGGGGTAGTTTTAGGGTGAAGGGGATGATGTTTCGGATCTGTCTCTTGGGTATTCCTAAAGCACTTAAATAGCACCAAAATGCTGCATACTCGTTTTTCCCGTGAATCTTTCCCTTAACGCAATATGCACTGTGGGGGTGTTAAGTGAACGTTCACTCAACACCACCACCGATTTTCGGTATAAGGGGCGGAGCACTAAAATCTAGGCTGTAGCACTAAAATACCACTAAAAAAGCACTAAATTCTCCAATAGGTTTCATTCCATATTTCCGATGTGGGGGTGCCTACTGTCCATACATTCGATGTTTTGCTATTCACATCGAGGCTTCGTCGCTTGTTCTTGCAGTTGCGGCGACTCGAGTTTTTCTATCGAGCTTTGGAGATTAGTCAGTGAGAGCCTGAAAGAAAAGGAAGCCTGCCTATTTGTTGAAATGTAAAATTGTAATAATTTGAAGTCAGTGTACCTTAGAGCTGTTGCGTTGTACTTTCCTTGGCGTTGAGCATCCGACACGTGGCGCTCGAATTGTGCCAGCGAGGCCTTTGCTACTTCAAGGTTTACAGTGGCCACCAATCGGCAGAGCTCTACGGATATGTGGAAGTGGACGGGAAGATGTCGCTGCAGACAACGGCAAATGATTTCTTCAAATTTCTTTCTGAAACAATGAAAAATCGATAGTTGCTTTCCGAGTAAATGTAATTCAGCCTGGAGGTTGGTTAACCTTAAGGGGATGTGAAACACGTCGAGGAACTTGCTCGATGTCGATAAAGAAGATTTTTCTAAATGCCTACGTTGCCGACGTTCGTTTTTATATCGACAGCTGGGTCGAATTATATTGGGTATTGTACCAAATGGCATATTCCACCTGTCGTTTTCGTACAATAATTATAAAGAAATCGAAGTGAAACTCCAGAAATCCTCTGGATTCATGCTTTCTGGGACTCTAACCGACTGCAGAGGGACCCCTTGCGCCATCTGTGATTTCCAAGTCAATTAAATTTTCACTCCGAGACCTCGTATTCCCATTGTTTTAGCATAGAAGCGCATACAACACTTTTTTTGCCTTTACCCCGTTCAAATGCGAGTTTATCGATTACCAAAGTGTTCTACATTGTCGTAAAATTGTCCTGACCCTTTCGATTCTCATATCAGAGCCTTCGATAATTGTATATTGATCGAAATATGAGAGCTCGACGCCATTTTGGTTCTGGTCTGGACTGAGTTAAACAATTTTTTTGAAAAATCCAAATTTTTAATGTGTCAGGACAATTCTTAGATGATCAGGAGTGACGTGTCAAAGTTTCGGACAGTTTGGTCCAATACCCTTAAAAAAAAAGTGTTGTATTCGAATCCACTGATTTGAAGGGGGTTTCACTTCACCTTAAAAGCAAAAATTTAGTTGCAGCGAAACATCACAGATGGCGACGTTGGTCCGTCAAAATATAAACAGTCATGAATTCACGGGATTTCGACGGTTTTACATCGATCTTTTCATAATTACATTACCGAAATGACATATGGAATGCTTCAGTTCGTATAATTCTCAACGTAGGCTGCAAAGGACTTCAACATAAATATAAATGTCGATAATGGGACGCGCCAGCTTATGTTACCACTTGAGTATTCAAAATGGCATTACCACCAAAAAGGGTAAAGATGAATTTTAATTTGTCGACGTCGATTAAATCTCTCAGCGCCTTTCATATCACATTAAAGCAGAGAGAGGCGTAGTTTTACACCAAAAAGAAGTAATTTTCGACGCAATGACCTCTCTGTTGCCTCCAACCTTAATCGAGAATCCTCCTTGTAGTGGACATTGGCGGTAAGATCGTTGAGGAGGCGCGAGGTTAGCCTTTTATGTGGATGGTAGTCGTGGACCTTGACGTAACATCCTATGGCCTGTGGCAAACACGCCGAGATGATGGTTTCGATGATGTGGCGGTTGTAGATCCTCCCGCTCTTTAGGAGTTCTCCGAGGAAGAGCATGACCTAACGTCCAATACATGAGAGATTTTGTTTATCATGAAGTGAAACCCGCGTCAAACCAGTTGATTCGAATATGGTGAAGTGAAACACGTCGAGGAACTTGATCGACTTCGGTAAAGAAGATTTTTCTAAATGCCTACGTTGCCGACGTTCGTTTTTATATTGACAGCTGGGTCGAATTATATTGGGTATTGTACCAAATGGCATACTCCTGTCGTTTTTGTACAATAATAATAAAGAAATCGAAGTAAAACTCCAAAAATCCCCTACACTCATGGTTTTTGAGGCCCTAATTGACTGCGCCATCTGTGATTTCCATGTCAACTAAATTTTCTCTCCGAGATCTCGTATTACCATCGTTTTAGCATAGAAGCACATAAGACACTTTTTTTTGCCTTATTCCGTTCAAATTCGAGTTTATCGATACCAGAGTGTTCTAAATTGTCGTAAAATTGTCCTGACCCTTTGGTTTCGCATATCATAGCCTTCAATAAGTTTATATTGATCGAAATTTGAGAGGTCTATGCCATTTTGGTTCTGTTCTGGGCTGTTAAAGCGTTTTGTTAAAAAATCCAAATTTTGATAATGTCTGGATAATTCCTCCTTGCTCACGTGTCATGTGTCAACGTTTCAGACAGTTCTATCCAATACCCTTAAAAAAGAGTGTCTTATTCGAGTCGACTGATTTGAGGAGGGTGTCACTTCACCTTAAGGTCGATTCGAATACACTTTTTTTAAGGGTATTAGACCAAACTGTCCGAAACTTTGACACATCACTCCTGATTATCTAAGAATTGTCCTGATACATTCAAAATTTGGATTTTTGGAAAAAAATTGTTAACAGCCCAGACTAGAACCAAAATGGCGTCCAGCTCTTATATTTCGATCAATGTACAATTATCGAAGGCTCTGATATGAGAATCGAAAGCGTCAGGACAATTTTACGACAATTTAGAACACTCTGGTAGTCGATAAACTCGCATTTGAACGGGATAAAGGTAAAAAAAGTGTCGTATGCGCTTCTATGCTAAAACGATGGGAATACGAGGTCTCGGAGTGAAAATTTAATTGACGTGGAAATCACAGATGGCGCAGGGGGTCCCTCTGCAGTCAATTAGGGCCTCAGAAAGCATGAATCCAGAGGATTTTGGGAGTTTTACTTCGATTTCTTTATAATTATTGTACGAAAACGACAGGTACAGTATGCCATTTGGTACAGTACCCAATATAATTCGACACAGCTGTCGATATAAAACCGAACGTCGGCAACGTAGGTATTTAGAGAAATCTTCTTTATCGACGTCGACCAAGTTCCCCGACGTGTTTCACTTCACCTTAATGAGTGCGGAAAGATGCAAAAATACGCGAAAGAACGCCGACCAACCAGATAGGAACATCGGTGGGTATTTGTGCCATCCACCACGATGATGAAATCGGCGGCCATTTTCTCCAGGAGCCATCTCGCGTAGGACTCCGACGCGCTGCGAAACGGTCGGGAAAGAGCGTCGGCGACGCTGCAAGCTCCGGTAGTCTCCACGTCGGTCACCAGGAGAGGTAAGTAGCGCTCCAGTAGGTTCTTCGTCAGGGTTTGCAATGATTGATCGCTTCTTGGATCGAGCTTTTCCAGGCCGAGAAGGATGAATGCGAAGATCTTCTTGGCCAGGTGCACCAGAAAGGTGCGCGGTTCACCTTCTGCTGGTAATACCGCTTTGGTGATGAGGAGTCTCAGAGGGCTGTTGGGTCGAGTCTAAAAGATCAAAGAGAACTTCGTAATTTGTCGGGTAAGAACGAGAACCATAGATATAGGTCCTGACTCATGTTTTTAGCGTTAGAAGATGTGTTTTAGAGCACTGTTAAAAGCGACCCTATTCATGTTTCGCTTTTAAACCACTTTTATAGAAAATCCTTTAAAAAAGCAATAAAGGACGTATTTTAGCAGCAATACCTCTTCATACCCCCTTTTAAGCTTCTTTATGAGCGCTTTTAGGATACCTCTTCACACATATCTCACTTTTAGCGTTAAAATACGTATTTTAGAGCAATGTTAAAAGCGACCCTATTCAGGTTTCGCTTTTAAACCACTTTTATAGAAAATCCTTAAGGTGAAGTGAAACACCCTTCAAATCAGTCGATTCGAATACAACACTTTTTTTAAGGGTATTAGACCAAACTGTCCGAAACTCTGACACACTCAGCCCAGACCAGAACCAAAATGGCGTCGAGCTCTCATATTTCGATCAATATACAATTATNAATGTATGCATATATCTGCACTTAACGTTTGTTTATAACGACTGATAACGGCTATTTGAAGTCGTAAGATCCGTAACCAATATTTGTATGAAACTGTATAAAAGTGGAAGATCAAAAAGTAAATTATTGGATGAAACAAATGGACAAGATGGACGTTTATAACCTAGCGGATACCGTTTGCCCTACGTCTGTCTTGTCCGCCATATTTGTATTTATTGTACGAAAACGACAGGTCGAGTATGCCATTTGGTACAATATCCAATATAATTCGATACAGCTGTCAATATAACAACGAACGTCGGCAACGTAGGTATTTAGAAAAATCTTCTTTATCGACGTCGATCAAGTTCCTCGACGTGTTTCACTTCACCTTAAGGTGCGTACCTTGGAATGGAGCATCGGAGAGCAGTGAAGGATTAAGACACCGATACATTGATAGATCCAGAGGGCGCGTTCCGAGTCGTCAGGTCTGTCCGCTATCGACGCCAGCGCCCATTTGTGTACCTGGCCCACGTAGGCCCGAAACCTGGCCTCGAAATTGCCGCGTTCCTCTTTCTGCAGTTTTTGCCACTTCCGCGAGAGGGCCGACAAGAAGAGGCATACAGCTTCCTCACTCTTCTCGAAATCCCGTAGCTCCGACTCACTCGAGAAGAGGTCCTTGATTTCTTCCAGACCAGCTACGTAGCTCTGTAGGTAGCCGACGCGGTCGCGGCCGGGATGGGTTAGGACACAGCACTTCACCCACGCCTAAAAGGAAGGTTCGTGGCAGAATTAGCTTGACATCTTGAAAAACTCGTAGCATACCTAGGCGCAGGGTTGGGTAAGTATAATATGTCAAGTAATATATGTGGTTTTCTACGGGCATAGTACAACGTATAATGCGTAGAGTTCTAAATCCAGTAAGTTACGTAAGAAACGAAGAGAAATTCCCGGTAACTTATCGGTAATTTCTCCAAAGCCGTTTTTATCGAGAAATGATGAGAATTTGAATTTTTCAACAGAGCGAACGAGAGGTTTCGATTAGCTATAGAGAAACATCGTAGAGGGGAATTTCCGTTGTACGTTCTCCGTA